AGAGTTCTGCAAATTTAAAAGCTCCATTTATGCCGTTTTCTAATATAAGCAACTCGCTCTGAGGGAGGCAGGGGAGAAGGTGCTTTTTTCCACTTTGGAATCATTCAGCATTCCCAAACCAAACTGCTCGTTGGTCTTTTGCAGAAAAATAGCTAGTCTCCAAGGACAGGCATTTTAATTTGTGCACAAAAACAATTTCAACAAGAAAAATCTCTTTCAATCCTAGCTCCTAAACAAAGTTTATAGGGACTTGGCAAATCCTTGATATTCAGTTCAATAGTGGCCCTTTTTTTCTGAATCTGCTGTGCAGCCACATTTAGAAGTGTGAATAAATAAAATCCCAGCTGGATTTAGCCTCCCTATCTGACAGCTAGTGGTTCCCAGGGTCCCCTACACCTACAGTCCAGCTCTCACCTTAGCAGCAACCTTTTCCAGTGCAGAAAACCTGCCCTCTCCTGCAGTTTCCTCTCCACCTGCACCCTACCTGAGCACCTCTACCAGCTGCTGCCTGGGGCTCCTCTCACTCACTCCCATCCCAATCTCCTTCCACTCCCATATACGCCAGAATAAAACCATGTTTGCCAATATCCCAGTCCTCCTCTGGCAGCTCCTTGGCCCCTTATCTTGAAATGCTCCCCCAATTTCCATGACTCTCTTCCTCTCCGCTTCCTCTGCCAGCTCCTGCCTCTCCACCTTCCTGAGGACATTCCACAGGGATGTGCCTTCCCTCTGCATCGCATTCCTGAGCAACCTCACTGCTTCCACAGAGCGGGCAGTGAGGACCATAACTAACTAACAAAGCTATTTTGTTACCCTACATCAAACTCTTCTTCAGAATAGGGTTCGCTAAAACTCCAGTAAGAACCAGAACGCCAGCACTGAGGTTCTCCAGGCTGATTACTCTCTCTCAACACGTGTTTAATGTCCAGTCCCATCTGTTTTCTCTGACTGGCTCCCAAGGAAATCGAGGCTGCCGTGATGGCACAGACAGGGTCTGGTCCTTGCTGTCCCGGCTGCGCACGCAGCTTTGCACAGCCGGGCACTGGCCCAACACACAGGCTCTGGGTACCTTCAAAACAGTGAAGACCAAAGGGAGCTTCAGAAAGAAGCTTCTACTCTATAGCACTGCACGGCGAGGCTGGGAATGGCAAAAGCTTTTCAAAACTCATCACAGATGGAGCTCACACACAATTCTCGGATTTCTACCACAAAAGAATGACTGTGCAGATCTAATTCCCGCTTTCTGAAGGCTGCATGTCAAAAATGCCACACGTCAAAAATACCACGGAATCCATTATTTCACTTTTTTTTTTCCTCCTTGCAATTTTTTTTTAAATACAAAGCTATCCTTGTAGTCAAACCGTGGCATACAGGAACCAAAGCCAAGATGAGTTTTTGCAGAGTATACTAAAAACTGTATGTAGAAATAATAAAGGACTGAGTTCTGATATTTCAAATTTCCTGACTTTTACAGTTTTTGTGTCCAATTGTTAACTTAAAATTCTAAGAATTAGGTTAAAAAAGGCCAATATAAGTTTTGCTTATATACACATGTCTAAATGAATACACATGTAAACCATTCAGCCAGCAGATGTCCAAAAATGCTCAAGAATGCAGTTTTTAAAACTGAAATTAAATAAATCAATCCTGATTAAAAAGACATATTGTTAAAAAAAAACTTTAGCTGTGTAAATTGTACAATTAACAGGTCTAACATTATAATTATGTTAATTGTGCAAGCAAAAGACCACAGACCTAACACATCAAACCCAGAGTAATGAATGTGCATTTACTTGCAGCAGTTGTATGAGCAAATTCACATTTTTGTAATATAATTTTAATAATAGTAATAATATTTTTTTCTTGCATAAGCATGAAATGTTTATTTTCTGAAAAAAATTAGTAGCAAAGATAGGCCTCTTTTTAATAATAATTAAATAAATCATCTGAAGGATGATTTTCTTCCGTGTATACTGGGATAATTTAAATGGGATAATTTAGAAAGGTTGAGTACATACTACTTGGACTTGCCCATCTTCTCCTATCTGGTGGATCTGGACCTGCTGAGCATTAGCTAGTGCATAGTGTAGTGCCTGGGGCTGGTTCTGCTGGATCTCATTAGATGCTGAAACGGTGCTCTGTGAACCCTCTGCAAAAGAAACAAAAATGCAGCTTTATTATATTTGTATGTCTCGTGCCAGTGGCCAAGCAACAATTTTACACTCAAAATTGTGGAGAACAAATGCAGTCAGTATGCAGGTTCAGCCACTCACATTCTTTTCAAGCAAGTTCACTGCTCATGTACAGATTTGCTACAAGTTACAGTACAGTTTCAAAAGCCATTTTGTTCCTGAGAAAGTATTAACAATAAACCCCAAAACAAACACACTTTTGATTCTAGATTAAAGATTCTGTAAGTGTCAAGGTAACACCACAGCAAAATGCTACACACAATTTTCTAAGATGTTGGAACATCTCCTTCTGTGCACCTGTGTAGCTTAGAATTATCACTGTCACCACCAAAACCACCAGAACACTTTTGAAAACCCATCCTGTAAAATGAAGCCATCATCTAACTCTGTATAATTCAAACCGACATACATAAGCATGGAATTTTTTTTTAATCTCAAAATTGCATCCACAGCATGTGCACAAGCTCCAACCTCATGTGTCATTAATATAAGCAGCCCATGAGGCCGGGATAGGAATTCTTGCAAACGCTGCAGGCATCTCATGGGAGAGGGACAGTGCGCGGGGTCAAAACGCACCACAAATCCTGAAGAACAGCCACAACTTTTTCATTTTGAGAGTTTCCGTTTTTGCACACATGCACCCACCACCACCCAGTGTTGGAGATCCCCAAACCTCCCCGCCCTGAAGCACTTCTGACTGGGTATCTTGTAGCCCTTCAGGAGTCAGGAAAGAAAACGGAGGTTATAGATCATTTTTGCAGTCCAAGTTCAATTACTCAATGCCAGAAAAAGCCTTTAAAGTTCCTCAAATTACTTTAATTGCTAAGGTTCAGCACTGGACTGTGTGTAGTGGCTTCACTCTTGATCAGAAAGGGCTTTAGAATAATGTACTTGAAGAAATACATCAATATACATTTCCTCTGGAATTAATTTTAAGAGTTTTATTTTGTTATGCCACAAAAATACCTTAATGAAATCTTTAAAGTGTTAAATTTGTTTAAAATGTATTTGGATGCACCAGTGCTCTGTCAATGACTTCTATGTTAAGGTAATGTAAAACATTAACATCTCACACATAATAATATGACTTTGAATGACATGACTATGAACCTGTATGAGCACAAGAAACTAACAGAAATATTGAAGAAAACTGTCCTACTTCCAGAGTACATCATTTTCTTACAGTAATTTTATTCATTGTTTAAATACAGACCAGATGGGCCTCATCCTCCTTATAAGTGGTTGACAGGTGACATATCTAGAGTATAAAAATGATGGTTGGTTTCTGGACCAACACCCCAGAAAACTTTGTTTAATGAAGTTATAATGCCTGTTACTTTTACAAGAATGAGGTTTATCTGGTCATACAAATATTTTAATTGAAGTGTTCCTTTAAAAAAAGAACAAAAGAGAAGATTTTTAAGGCCGAGTATATGAATTTGAGACAACTTCAATACCACTAAGCTATTGTTTACTCTTCTGTTCAAAAGTTAAGATGCTTAAAAGTTCAGTTAGTCAGCTCTAATTACATTAACAATCTGCAAATACATTAAAAATCCCACAGCACTCTAACACTATGGGTAAGCACAATACATCAAGTATGTATTTTGTTATTTGTGGGTTATGCATCTTTCCTATCTGACATTTGACTATTTTACAAATCCTGAGCACTCGTTTCTTAAACACAGCCCTGCCAGCTAGTGCCCGACCCCAGCCGACACGACGCATTCTGGGCAGGATTTGCACACTCCAGCTGGAAGGAGAGCCCTGCACGAGGAATTCCGCAATGCCAGTCAAATACAAATGGTTTGTTCAGACCTGAGACCGCTGCCGGTGCCCTCCGCGAGGGCTCTCCTGTGGCGCCCGCTGCTCTTCGCTCTGTGAAACCACCACGCGCCCAAGCCGCTTTCTTCTGCCTTTTCTCTCACCTCCACCACTCCAGTTACATTAGTATTTTTATGCAATGCATTTCCATTTTGTTTTAGAAAAGAGTACTTTTCCAGGACATTGAGCAGCTGAGGCTGCCTGCTGTTCTTCACCTTGGGTTTTCCTGCTTACCTTGTGCGCAGTCAGCTGTGTCTGTTCCCTGTCTCCCCCTATATAACTCACCATCTGGTCAAGTGGTGGTGTCCAAACACATCATCCTTCATATAGACACACGCACTGTGCGTGCACGTGAATAGGCAAATTTTGCACATAAATAGCAAAGCTGGACTTGGGACAGAAACGAAGGATGAGGTAAGAAGCTTGTTTTGCTCCTCCGTAACCTGAACGCACCATTAAGAACCGCCCTGCTCAAGGTTACTCAGAAATAGATCTCTGTTTACAACACCCACAGTTGAGTTTGGGGGTTAGTAGTTGGTTTTTTTCTCTCTTCCTTTTTTAAGAAGAAAGGAGAGAAAAGGATTCGGCGGTGTCTAAAAACACCACATCCTTTATACATATTGTTTTCTTCTCCCTCTAAAGCTCTGGCCAGACCAAAGCAATATTTATCCATTTTTAAACATTCCCCATAAAAAACAAACACCAGCATGAATAGCACACAGCTTGATGAAGACTACGTCAACATATATAAATCACCATGGTGTAAACTATCTGGCCTCTCATTTACCACGTTGATATATTAGCAAATCCCCGGCCCCGCGGGACCGCCCAGCTCAACGCTCGCGTTGGGACTTGCACCATCTGCAGAGTAGGTGGCCAGGGAGCAAAGCCCCTGCTTAACTTTGCAATTAATCCTTATTTCAAGCCTTGATATATCCACTTTTTTAGACGTATTTAGCAATGGTCACCTGCTGGAAGGATATCGGCAGGTACCTATGCAGAAAGCCGTGTTTTCCACACGCAACCCAGCAAAAGTTTGCTAAATATTTATCAGCTGAGCATTTGAGCCCTCTTTTGGGAAGAGAAGGAAGGGATTTGGCAGCAGCAGGATTCCTGTTTAATCTCCTTCCTTACATCTCGCCACGCGAGGCTGCTTTGCTAGCGTGTAGGGCGCCCAGCCGCACGCTTCCTAGCGAGCTAGCACGGATTTCCTCACTTCCTTGGCTCCCACTCTCAACAAGGACAGGTTAATGGGCAGATGAAGCAAAGCAGTCCTCAAAAACCGAAAAATGGGGAAAAAAAATGTAGCGATTAACGAGCAATTCACAGAAATAAAACTGTTGCAGTAAACTGTTATCTAAACCTGACTCACGCGGTGCTAAGTGCCTCCCATCTTCCTGCAACATCTGTCTGTGTGTGTGACATCTGGCACCAGCTGAGCACTTCAGCCCAAATCTACATATAAATCCCAAAGCCAGAGAGCTAATTAATAGTTCCAGCGTGGAAAACTGTGATAACAGCTTTAACGATCTTAAGAGAAATTAAAAGAAAGGGAGAGAAGATGCTCTTCAACTAATCCTCCTCCCCAAAATCTCATTTCCTTCTGCCTTCCCCCCACAGACCACTAAAATCTCTTACGAGAATATCTCGCTAAATCATCGTGGCAGCCACGTGTACAGCTCCTGTCGAGAAGATGAGGGAGCAGACACACACGTTACCGCCTGAAACGCTGGCTCCAAGCGCAGCAGAACGCTGCAATCCATGTCTCAAGGCCAAAAAAGGCAACAGCTTCCAATCCAAGAGCCGGATAAGTGAAGGAGACAACCTCGGCCGGCATCTCGCAGTGACCCATCCATCTGGGGCTGCTAGGAAGCTGCAGTGTCAGTCAAACCTGGGATCATCCTAACGAGCATCCTTGCGAGGAAAGAGCAGAGCCGAGGCACTCGTTTATATTTTTCTACCAGCTTCCTTAGAGGTTTAGCCTGGAGACAGGATCCTCTTGACCTCTTAGCGCTCTGCAGAGCTGATTTTTCCTTGCAATAAGCAGAACAGAGGGGAAATGTGTTATCATTTTTAACAGTCTGATGCGAGTCCAAGCCACTGACTACACTTTTTTTGTGGAAAAGCAGAAAAAGCATAAAAGTTTTAACATGTCCACCAAGTATGTAAGAGGGAAGCTCAAGTGTCGCAACATCAAGAAACCCTCCCTAGATAAAAATATTTCAAATTTGTTTGTTAATTATGTGTGCAACGACTCGATGCTCATAAAAATCACAGGTCGGAGAACAGAGGAAAGTGGAAGGGACCTTCGGCAACCCCACAGGATGCTCACAATGAATTCCAGTCGGATTTAGAGCTTCTCTAGGGATGGAAACATCACAACCTCTCTGCACAATCCATCCCAGTGTTTGACCACTGAGACTCTTGTAGGATTAACAACAAATTTGTTTTAAATGATACACAGGGATGTTTGACAACTTTCACTGCCAAACAGAAATTACTAGCTCTTCTCTAAAGAGGATTTTTTACATACCAACATCCAAGCATATATTCTGCAACATGTAAATGAACATTGCAGTGTTTGAAGAAAGTGCCGATACATTTCTTATTTGAAAATAATATATATGATGATAAAACTGAAAACTACTATTAATCAGCCCCTAGAGATAGCTGGTTTAAAATATCACTTTTTGGCAATCAACAACAAACACATCACTGCTCTGGATTTAGCCTTTTTCCATTGCACCCATCAGTCCTAATTTTCTATGTGAAATATTAGGACCACTTACAAGCTCAGAAGAGGAAAAACTACTCTGGAAACAGTTAATACCAGGAACGTGGTGAGCAGGACCTCAAAAGCAAATTTTAGCATTTAAATGGTCTCAGAGCCGTGCAGCTGTGATGCTACTTGTCTGTTCTAGGCACATGTCAATGGCAATAGCATGTTTTTTTTAAAGTATCTTCTAAAGGCTACAGGTATATCTTCTATAGTAAGCCGTACAGCTTCCTTTGGAAGGCGTGATTTGTCAACTAAGCATCAGGCCCACCAAGAAATTGCAAGAGAAACCACATTGTCTGTCCCTGCATTCTTCATAGATTAAAGATGACACCGCAGTAGCTATCCACAATGCTTTAACAGCATTTTTCCCCTATTTTTGTATCTCCTTTGTGGGAAGCAGCTACTATACTCCACCCAACAGGTAAGAAACTAAGAGGCCCACTATACGTGAACTGATGGGGAGCACCACGTCAGGGAATGGGCTCCCGGGCAGGTTCTCCTGCATTGATGTAGAGGACCTGGAGCTAAACGTAGCAGCCAGAACGAACAACAGTGGAAAAGACACGTTCTCAAGTAGCCGCATTCCAGACCATTGAAGGCTCACCTTAAGTTGCCCCCTGAAACAAATGCTACCATAAAAACTGTCTGGGTTCATATGCAACGCTTTAAAAAGCCATATTTGACAGCTATGTTGTCATAGCTGTGAAATACAGACCTCCTTCACTTCAGAGCTGTGAAATATTACTTCTTCCTGCTCGCTGGCAGGAGCAGTTTTGCTATATCCACCATGCAGCAGATAATAAGTAACAGATGCCTGTGAATTATGATGCTGTAATTCCATCGAGGGGTTCCAGGGATGTCAAACCACAAAAGCAAACTCTGAGCCGTTCACGAGGTTACCTGAACTTCAGGATGGAATTACAGCCCTGTCATGGAAAAGCTGCCATTTAAACAACACTTGAATCCACACTTTTTCCTTATTTGTTTACTTCTTTCCTTTCCCTATACACTCATCCAGCTCCCATCTACTCTCCTATTCTCCCCAAACCACCTCCTCTTTCTTCAAGTGTTAAAGGGAAGTTAAATATCACTCATGCCTCCTTCTGGAATGCAAATAAGATTTTTTTTTTTTTTTTTTTTTTTTTTAAAAAAAACCACTTGTTTTTGTTTTTTTGTTGTTGTTCATTTTACAGCATTTTACCATTCCTAGGAATGACTCCAGTGGTGAATTCTTTCATCACCTTTAAGGCCTCCCAGAAAATGATGTCAGTAATATTCCAAATAAGAGCAATATTTTAACACAGAAAATTAAGAAGAAAATTAACAAAAGTCTGAAACATGGGATATTTTCACCTACCCAGAAGCAGCTATTAATGTTATTAGTGGTACTCTATTTTTTGCTGCGTGCAAGGACATGCCAAATTGCTTTGGGCAACTTTTACCATGTCCAGGACTAAAGGCACCTTTGGAAGCACCTGCATTGAACTCCTCTCCCTCTGAGGCCTCAGGAGCTGAGACAGCCTCTACCTCACCTGGGAAAGGCAAGGAGCATAAATGCCCCATGGTAAATCCAGAAGGTTGATGCAGCCAAGGGTCCAGCTCAGCTCCAGTTAAATGGGTGAAGTTGGGCTCAGGGCTTGACCAACTCACGCTGGCTCTTGCAGGAGTGTCTCTGCCCCTTGCCAGTTAAATGGGTGAAGTTGGGCTCAGAATCTGATCAACTCAAGCTGGCTCTGATCGCCCCTGTGCATGAAACAGGCGGCTCAAAGCCCCTGAGTCAACTCGGGTGTCTTTGCACCCATGCAACACTTGGTCACAAACCATGGAAGTGGAGTTGGGCTCAAACTACAACAAAACTAAAACTGGATTTTTCACCTAAAAATAATAATAATAAAGACTATTGCCTTATGGCCTTCTGCAGACAAGAATGCACTGAACCCAAATCTGAGTTTTCTGCCTCTTGGTCTCCCCACTTCTCCAAACCAGGAGATTAAAGATATGATTATGGCCTAATGAACACAAAATTATAAATTCTACTCATTACCGTATTTTTATTCTAAAATGCTGATTACTAAGAGACTGAATCACTATATATGGCTTATGGTTATCATTACATTGATTAGTTGTTTTAATTTGAGAATTTTGGATACGGTTCCCAGTTCCAGCACATAAAACTTTCCATTGCAAGCAGATTTTGGCATTCTTTGCATGAGATACAGTGGTTAGTGTTAACATGCAACCAAAAATTTTATGCAGGGAAATAAACTTACTTCCTCTTCTTTGGGCTAACTTCCAAAACACTGTTTTTAATATATGATCTACAAATGTCCCATAACGTTGCTTTATATTAAAAGTAAGAGCCAGAAATGTCTTATGAGAACACTTCTTAGGTCAGTATTTTTCATGTGTTATTATTATTATTCATGCCTATATACCTATATGGAAACACACATACTTTATATTCCTTTTTCATAAGGATAATAAAATGTGCAGGTCCTACATGCACCTGTTGTAAGTGTAGGTTAAAAGTTATTTTCAGGTATATTAAAAACAAATGACGTTATTACTGTAAGCTTCCATTTCTCTGCTTTGCCTTTTGTTGTTGTTTTTATTTCTTTACCTGAACCACTGTAAGATGATGAGGAAGGTGTTCGCCTTGAAAAGCTTTTCACTGCAAGACTCTGGCCTCGCTGCTTCCTCCTCCACGCTGTTCGGCATTTGGAGTCTATGCTTTGCTTGATACGATACCAGTCAGACTCTGTGATTCCAAATTTATAAAATAGGTGACCTGTAATTAGAAAGAAGCACAAAGGGATAAAATCCAGAAAAAAATCTGCATTTTCATGACAACACATAAACAACCCACACTGCTACGCGCTCAAAGAAAACAAAGCAACTCTGAAAATTTTAGGGCTTCCCTTCACGCCGAAACACCCTAAGGGAATATAATGAAACTAAGAAAATGCCAAAGCTATACAGTGGTGTGGTTTTAAGAGCTGTTAGCAGAACTAAGTAATTGTACATATGTACAAACCAGCTGTGTATTTAAAAATGCCACCCGTCTATGAAATTGCTCAATCTAAACTTCTATCCATGAAAATTGCACTATTTAATTCAAGAGGTGCAATCCTGAAAAACAGGCGGATTTCACTCCCCAGTGAAAACTCGATGAACCTCTAATTACCACTAAGAGTGCCACAACACGTATAAACCTGACGAGTAGGAAGCCAGGCTGAAGCTCCATATAAAATGGACAAACTCCTTTAAAGTTCACTCGAAGATTCATCAAAATCCAATAAAAAGGGAGCACAACATTCAAATCGAAAAACGTTACCGCTAGCAGTAAGTGAAGTCATCTGAGTCACATTCTGCACTTTTCAACGCTGTTATTTGAACAGTTTGTGCTGAATTGCCAAACTGATTATATGAAACCAATGTGGACTTGTGAGTTGAACTGCTTGAGTACTTTGTAACAGCCCTTACACAGATTGAGTCCTGCTGCCAACTTAAACTAGGTTCCTTATCACGTGCAACCTCTGCAATCAAAGCAGAGCCCTGGCCACACAAGAAACAGAGCAATCAAAAGTCTCTCTCAGGTACGAGGCAGGAAAAACATTAATTTCAACATCTGAAGACATAATTAAAAATTGAGAAGGAAACGTGTTGTGCATTGTCAGCCTTTTTGAGGCCCTCCTTACACTGCTGCAGACTCTTACCATCTCACTGTAAGCTTTGCTTACAGTAGTTTATATTTTGCTGCAAGTATCAAAAGTTGAGGGGATTTGATTATATGTTAAGAAAAATCTATACTCTCCATCAGAGCAGGAAGAAATGCTTGGAAAAGTCAATGAAAAGAATCGCTCAAAGAAAACAAAGCAACTCTGAAAGGGCAAGAAACCTTGAAGGAAAACAGAACTACTGCAACATTTACTACCGTTTAAAACTTCAGGACCTTTAAACCTTTCAGAGTTATTTAGATGCATAATAAGGCAGTTAGAAATCTACAGTTGTAATATTCCTATCTACTCACTTGGACCTCAGGTGTCAGCTGTTCTCAGTACCTCCCTGGATAACACAATCTCGCAGCCTACTGGGTTTATCGTCTTACTCTCGAGCAGGATCCTGATGAAGTACTTAAACACATGCTTAAATTGCTTTATAATCCTATGGACAGCATAAGGTCTGTTTCCGTATATTAAGACCATTGATTTGAAGCCCAGAGAAGCAGAATTCCAGCTTTGTAGTAACTGAGTTTTTTCTTTTGCTCCTTTATATTACAAATGAGCTGAGAGTCCTCAGAAGCTGCAACGGGCACATTACTGTTTTCAATATAATCACCTGGAGTACTGTATCTTTCAAGTTATCATTTCTAACATTACATCTTTCCACTGATGCTCTATTTTATTGCACCTTTGTTCAAAGAGCAGTTTGAAGTGACGCAGGGAGCAATTCGGGAGAAAGACCTGGCATCAAAAAGTCACTTCTGAAGCACCGTAAAGGCTCAAGAGTTCTCCCCAGCGAGTGACAAGAAGCAGCTCACTGCTTTACAACCCCTGCACTACGATCCTCAAAAGGGGAGAGGGTAGGAAGAAAACTGACTGAACGGATCTGCTGCTGTGCAAGTTTCCTTTCCATAGGCGTCAGCAAACTGAAAGCACATACTGTACTGAAAATACGGAGGCCACATCTCCAACTGTAATCTTTTGCTTTAAAAAAATAATATGTAGTGTACAGACAAATGGGTTTATAAATGTTTGCAGTAATGCCCAATGCAAATAGTTGTGTTTTTACTTTTTATATGACTTCAGCTGTCAGCATGTACATCATACTCGTGCAGTTCTGCATAAAACGGTCATATGCTTTGCGGTTATCTTGAACAAATTTCATGTCCATATTTCATTCATTTTAATGATTTTCATGTTGCTTGCTGATCACTAAAGAAAGTGATGAAATTAGTTGCAGATTCCAGAAAACTCTTGCAGAATCAATTCTAAATGTTACGCTGTAATTCATGGGCTATTGCAGGTTGCTGCGTGATTCAAACAGAAATCAAAGGCAGGAGAAGTTGTTCAGAATAATGTGGCCTCAGGGGTGGTGAGCTGTTCATCCCAGGAGAACCAAGGGGCACATGAGGAAGATGGTAGTGCCAGAGCTACAACATCAAATGCCCTAGAAACTGCCCTAGTGAGAAAAGACACCTCCTACTACAGCTCACAAAACTTAGCTATCTACCAGCAATAGGAAAGTTGCAGTAGGTGAAGAGGGAAAACCGGCATAGACAACACTTGATCACACTCCATTGCCAACCAAACAAAAATACAATGCGAACCAGCTACACTGGAGGATTTCTGAAGCACATATATAAATTTTCAGAAGAGGTTCACCATAACAACACTAGAGATATAGTTTACATATGGTGCAGAGATACACACTGAAAATGTGTACAAACTATATCAGAAAATCCAAGTGTTGACTTTCTGGTCTTTACCAATAGCTGCTCACATACAGGAGGGCTTTTAGCTAAATTTAGGTCCTGCTGCTGCGAGTGAGGCTTCGAAGTCCACATTGTAAAAGAGAGAAATGCTTCAACGCGAACAGATTCAGCTTCTTCCAGAACACTTTTCAGTCAAAAGCAGCACGAAACATTACAATGTATAAGCCGGACAGTATATCTGAGCCACGTAACAGCCCTGTTAAATACACATTAAAATATATCCAGGAAAATAATTCAGCACTTTGGCAAAAGGACAAAGTATTTTGGAAGACCGATGCATTTACACAACAACAGTGAAGTAAAGAATTTAGATCATCTAAGGATGGCTAAACGAGTTTGTAGAAAATCTCTTTATCTAGGAGAATGGTTGGTTGCTGGTAATACTCAAAACAAAGGATGTGCTTGTTTTAAAACCTTAAGGGTCCAACATCTGCTTTCTTTAGGAATCTCACTTCCTAAACAAGTCCTTTATGAAAAAAAAAGTACACCAGAGAAATAAAATAGCTCAGTTATTTAATAAATTGCAAGAGCTTGAGTGATTTCCACAAACCAGATAAATACCAGAGACAGGGATGTCTGCAAGAGGAATTCCTAGAGAGACTGAGTATCCTGAAGTGCACACAGAGGATATCTCTGATCCTTGGTTTGCATCCATTTTTCGCAGCAAAGTGCAAGAACCAATAGTCAATCTTACCAAGCAATAGCTCAGAAGAATGCACGCGTGCATCTGGAAAATGAAACAAATCATCTTTAAAAGCCAACAGGTGTCTTTACTAAGTTTCGCACACTAAGCGCTATAGTAGAAACACAGTGCTAGCTCTGGCTAACTTTTTGCCAGAGTTCATCTAAAACTAAGCTGAACGAAGACACCACAAGGTCTCTAATACTTCTTGTGCGCCTTCTTTTTGTGGTTCAAAGAAAACAACTGAGCTTGGAAAGACAGAGAAGATGGTCTGGTACAAACGCATAGATCATCGGCAAAGACATCTGAAATGGCTATATACTCCCAAACTCTTGGGACATCTAATGCACGATGTGGGGAAGAAGATCTTTTGTTTTTTAAAAACAGAGTTAACAAAAAGAAAGCCCATGAAAATAATGTTCACAGGAAAGAAATCCTTTCTTTCATTAAAGGTCAGAAGTCAGTCAGCAGACACAGCAATCCACCAAAAACACAAAGCTATAAAGAAATCTATTTAAGAACAAACAGAGGCGCCTGAGAAAACTTTTGTAGTTACAAAACTAGACATGAAATATTCTGGCTTGCTTTGGCATTCAAACCAGCCCCCTTAAAAAGAAAAAAATAATCTTAATATCAATATTGAAGTGACCTAAGATTGTGTTGCTTCGCTTTCACTGTGAATCCGTGAATGCAGGATATCTTTAGAAAAATACAAGGTAAATCATCATTATTTTCACGGACATGGCAGAGCTCCCTTTGCTGCTCTTTATTAACAGACGGTACAGGCTTTCTGTTTGTTATCTTTATGCTTTAAAAGATTAAAAAACGTTACCCCAGAGAATTCAATGGGCACATATAAAATATGTATGTATTTAGACTGAGATAGAACACACAGATTTCCTTAAGTACTCTATTTTCAAATTCAGCATTATTTTAAAGATTAGAGGAAACAGCAAAAGGACACACATTGCAAACTCAGAACCTATATGGAACAATTAAAAAAAAAGAACTCACAAGAAGATGACAAATACTATGCAAAAAAAAAGAGCTTCGGCTTTTGCCTGCACAAAATCACGAAGAGGGGTGATTATTTGGCGTTTTGGCTAACAGGACACATTTTTCTACAGAAGGGTCATACATGTGGAGTTTTTTTTCCTTAAACTAATAACGTATGACAACAAAATCTGCTGCACTAAATATCCAAACTACGGAGAAAAAAATCAAGCACCTCTGAAGTTGATTTCTTGCCTTCAGGCTTCAGTTCCTCAAATGCAACCACGCTCATGCGTGGCCCATATTGAACCAATTTTAGGAAGTGTAACTGTTTACTCGTCGTTTTGGGGGGGATACGTGCCCGGTATAACGGGGGCCGGTTCCCCCGGGACTATGCAAGGAGAAGGGTCATACATGTGGAGTGCGCTCGCTGAGGTGACAGCGGCCGCCTCACGCCGGGCGCTTGCTGAGGTGGCGGCGCTTCCAGCGTCACATGTGGCGCGTGGCGGCCGACAGACACTTTCCGAGACGCTGTTCTCCTCCACGGGCTAAACGGCAGCCAAGAAGAGACGGCGGGGAAGGAGGGAGGGAAAATCCGGCTACCAAACCTTGTCGCTGT